ATTATTATTATCGTTACTTCTTTTTTTTTGTACATTGATATATTTCTAAATAAAGAAGCGAATAAATTTTACTGAGAAAACGGCACCAGAAACAATACTTTGATTACACAAAAAGTGCAAAGATGTTTCCATCTTTTTTTTTCTTCGTTTCAACTTCTTCAGCTTTTCTCATTTTTTTCAATGTCAGTAGTAATAAAAAAATAGAATAATAACTTTTTTCTTCTGCCACAGAGTAGTATAAGCCAAAATGAAAATTATTTTTAATGTGCATTTGCTTACATTATCGTTTATTGGTTAGGTAAAAAACCGAAGCAAACATGGACCGCATTTAAACAGCACCAAAATAAAGAACAGCAAAAAGTAATCGTTTTTTTTGGTACTATAAACTTCATTTACGGTATTACTGTTCGTCTTTAGCCCATAATTTTTTTTAAATTAATTAAAAATACCTCAATTTTATCTCGTCATTAATGACGTCAACGATATTGCTGTTAAAGCTTAGCAATTATTAGTTATTATTGGTAAGTACCATCAGTTTGCAATCACCTTTGGAGGTAACCAGTTTTAAGGGTATTGTAGAGGAACAACAACAAAAAAAACCAACAATTGGGAGCAGAAAGAAGAAGAGGTGAGAGAAGTAAAGGAAATGTGAAAGTTTTTTAGAATATTCTGTGCTCGGTGTTCAAATAATCAGCTTTGAATTGCTGCCTTTGGTGTTGATATGCTAAGATGGTAAAATTAGCTGTAACAGCTTTTTGTCAGTAAATTATTTGGCACTGTATTTTTGGTTACTTGATCGGATATGGTTTCTTGAAAGATGCCAATTTCTGGACTAAAGTATGAAACATCGCAGCAGTTTTTGTTGAAAGGGTTTAATGTGATTTTTTAGGAATCATCCTTTCCAGCAATGCTGCAGTTTACGTATCGCTGTCACTGATATTACTGTTATTGATGGTGGTGGTATTACTGTTACTGTTGTTGTTGCCGTCGCTATTCAGAAGATTACATCGACATATCAACAGTATCAAAAATTCAGTGAAGAACCTGAAAATTATTTATCTATTTGATTGTAAGCAGTTGTTTAGGTAACCGCCTTTTTTTCTTCTGACTTTCTTGTTTTTTTTCTTCTTCTGTCTTTTAAACTTTATAATTTAAACTAGCAATTTAAGTGATTGGAATTTTTGATTACTGCAAAAATAAAAGCATTTTTTGCCTTCTTTCAATATTACTTTCAATTTTGCTGCTTTTCCGAATAAATTTAAGGCAAAAACAAAAAAAAGTACTATTTTACCGGAACACAAAAGAGGGAAATTTTGGATACATCATTGTTGTGAAACAACAATTTAAAGCAATCAGAAAGCTTAAAGTTTCTAAAACCCGGCTGTAACTGCTGTTTCGTACAGTCAGCCACCGTCATCGTCGTCACTATCCGCTGTTGTTGCCGCCGCCATCGTCGTCGTTAAACAAAGATGTTTCCTGGAATTTGCTAACTCAACATATTTTCTATACTTGGATTATTTCTCCTCTGGAGCAATATTTTTCTTCCGATCAATCTGTAAGCTAAAAAAAGCATACGACTGTGTGCGTGTGTTCTTTTTTTTGTTCGCTTAGGTACTTGACTGTCAGTTGTTTGTATAGAAGCTTGAGTAGTTTTTTGGTGTGAAAATGTTGCAAAAATTCAATAGTTAACAGAAGTGAAATAAAAAAAGTGGGTTTTCCTTCTAGAAATTAAAACAGACCAGAAAGTTGTCGGTTGGAACAGACTATTGAATAATTTTAAATTGAAATAGTTTAAAAAAGGGAGACGACACTTGTTGGAGGTTGGCGGGGGAAGAAGCAGTTATTATAAGAGTTTCTGCTCAATCACCGGTTTTCTTTGACTTTAGCAAATAGAAGTAAATTTTTTTTCTTTTATTTTTTTTTACTTATTATACTGTTTTCTTTTATTTTCAAGAAAAAAAGGAGACTTTTTTAAAACAATCTTTTCTGATGAATTAAATGTTGGTTTCGATCATCTTTTTTAAGGCTTAGTCATTGTTTGAAAATCACTTAATATGCGAATACAAAAAAAATTTACTCTGCAACTTTTTCTGCTTTTTTTTGTACATTAAATAATGTAAATTTATTTGTTTTTCTGTGGTTTTTTTTGTTCTCTTTATTTTTTTAAATCTCAAATTTAAAGAAAAAAAAAGAAAAGAAATAGGGAAGAGAAGAAAATGTTGAAGAATTATTGTTTGTATAATCTGTCACCGTATTATTGTTACTGGGATAAAATTATTTTTAATCTGAATAAAGGCAAAAAAAAA